AATGATAGCGTACGTCAACCTGTTATTGTACTGGATCGCCCCCTGTCTGTCAGAAATGTGTTTAACAGGTCTGCGATCTACACAGAAGAGACATCCTCCTCTGTCATGTATCACTTGTTTCTGAAACACCACTGCAGCAGCAGCAGCAGCAGCAGCCATTTTACAGGCATGCAGAGTGACTAATGCCTGTGGGTAATGTTCAGATATGACTGCAGCTCTGTGGAGGAGAAAAGTGTTTGTCGGCCTCCGCTGTGGTCAGATCTCAGCAGCAGCAGCAGCAGCAGCAACAGCAGACAAGGATGCAATGTTTTGTTTCCGAGCATCGGTGCTCACATTTACTTTTACATTTTACAACTGCATACAGACTTGTTTTCTAAGTGTTTGTAGCACAAAGGTTTGGTCCCATAGTGATAGTGATAAGACAGTGGCAGTGTCTGCGCTCATACAGAGGGCGCTCTTGAGCTCAGCTGACGGATGCGTCAGGCGGCGGCAGTAGCATCCTCAATGTGTAAATCTGTCGATGGCTACGACTTTGACGAGTGTCAAAACGCTGAATGGTCTGTGTCGCGGACTCTGCTGGTGAGACAAATACAGAATAAACCAGTGCTAACCACAGTCGCCCAGGTGCTGCCGTGAAAAGTAATAAACACCGTACTGTACTATACGTATATGTGCTGTGATATGTATGTGATCATACATTCATCACTGTCTAAGTCTGTGACACAGAGATTGACAGTAGCCAATCAGCTACTGTAATTATGGATAATTAAAGAGTTAAAAATCATTTTAACATTTTTAACTGCTAGACATGCTAAAGAAAAACCAATGGAAGGTAGCTTCAGGACATTTTTAACTGCTAGACATGCTAAAAGAAAAACCAATGGAAGGTAGCTTCACCGATGAGTCATCTATTCCAGGGGTCCCCAACCCACGGTCTGTCCCTAGATCATTTGGTACCGGGCTGCAGTGGAGAAAATTCCAAAAGAATTCAGTCATTTCCCATTACTTTGTCATTCAAAGATAATCTGTCAGTGTTTCGGAACAACAGGTCAAAGGTCAGTCAGACTCCGATGCTAACAGAGTCTGAAAGATGTTTAATTTTGAAAATGTAATGATCCTTCAAATGAGGTGCGGTATCACCGCTGATACCAGTCGACCAGTCCTTGGTACAAAAAAGGTTGGGGACCGCTGCTCTATCCTATCTTATACTCAGGTGGATGTAGTACTAATGCTAAATTGTACTAGCATCTTTATTTAAAGAACCTTACTTTACTATAGAACTTACTTTCTATGGATTGCGAAATCGGAAGCTATCCTCCGAGCGGCTTCAGTGTTTTTGTTTGCTTAATTTTTTAGCTGCATTTTTTAGCTAATGATTGCTAAATTGCTAAGTGCTACACAAACTGCTAGCAAATGTCCACCGAACAAGTTAAACTCTGAACAAGTGGCTCCAGGAAATATCTTTATCGGTAGCTTCGGAAGATAGCCCGGCAGTTAAATAGTGGTTACTTTGTTTAGAGAGAATAAAGTGAGGTGGATGTTGAATTTACAGCGATGCGTCATCAGCTCTGCAGAACAACGGTCGTTCTCCCCAAAAGCTATTTGGAAAAACAGGTGACGTAGACAAAAAGCATCCGTTAAAACGAGCAGTACGACGGTGTCGTTCACGTTCTGTGGGACTCACAGCCATGTGTCCTCAACCAGGAAACATCGGATTATTTTGGCCCAATAAATCTTAACCCAGAATAAGGAGCTGATTTTCTATATTTATCTACACGTTCCAGTCTTCGTTTCGTGTGTGCATCTTTATGGCGGAAGAAGTTGAGCTGCAGCTAGCTTTGTTCTTTTACTGTCATTACCTGGAGGCACTTCAGTCAAATTCTATGATGAGAAGGGGTCAAAGGCACTAGAAATTAATTCCGGAAAAATCTATTACATCAATTAAATGTTACTGTTGACCTTGTTGTTAAAACCTTTTGAATGAAAACAATTTTTTAAAAATTGGGGGGGTGGGGTTAACAAGTCACAAAGAATGATCCCATGCACTTCATCATCAAAGATCAGAGCTTAATCCAAATGGAGGAAGGACATTGTCTTTTCAGAGGTTATATGATGATGATGTCTCTTCTTTAAATCTATTTTTTTCTCTGCCTTTTTGTCCCGTTTGTCCAGCTGTTCGTCCATGCACCACGTCAACGTTGTTAGCTCCACAAAGACAAGGAGGAGCTCCGTCGTCTTCGTCCTGCGGCTCCTGAAGTTCCTCCACAACTGCAAGCAATTTGATAGCGACACCATGCACCAATGGGTATTGTATAGGCCAAAACTCTTCTTTTGACATGCCGTGATCCTCCAAAAGAAGTGTTTTTTTTTTTTCTGTTCCGTAGACATTCACCACACTTAGATGGTTTGATACAACTCAACGACTGTAGCATCAACAAGTAGCCAGTGCACTTTTGGTGAAAAAACAAATGACGGGAGAAGAATCCAAGAGCGGAAGATGAAGGAAACGAGAGAGAAAACAAAGTCCAAATAAGAATGAGGTAATGCCGTGTGCATGCCGATATAAGAGAGAAGAGTCTCCACATGCTTTTATATAAAGGAGTGTTGCATGGCATCATACAGGGAACCTCCAGCCAACCTGATGTAGCAGCAGCAGCAGCAGCAGTGCAAATCACTCTCCTCCAGGTCCGCACTCTACTTCTTCTTCTTCTTCTTCTTCTTCTTTTTTTCATTTTTTTCAAATCATTTTTCTGATAAGGTGCCTTAAAAATTCTCATCAATAATCCACATCACTTTTTTTTGTTTTCCATTGAAAAATGTCACTAGTACTGTAATCCACTTAGAAGAATTCCTTGGTGAAGTTCAGTGGTCCTCGGAACATTTAAATCTCAGTTGGGCTTTTGTTCTGTCCATCGTTTTCAAATGTTCTTCTTTATTATTTGTTTTTCATCAAGAATGATGTCTGGTAGATGAAAAGAGTATATTTTTGATAAATTATTCAAAAAATCGTCACATCTTTTTTTTAAATGCGACCCGTCTAAGTGCACTGTTGATAGTCTCTTTTACAGTCGTTTATTTATTTCTAATTATAAATCTTTACCTATCTTTAGAGATTATTTAATTCGTTTTTAAAATAGTTTCCTTAGCGTCACAACTGCTTATATGTATTACATATATATTAGTGTCATATTTAGCCTCGGGGGCGGCCCCAGCCGTAGGCAGCAGGAGGCCGGATCGATCAAATTGATTGACAAAGATTTCACAATAACGTTCAAACTGACACACACTGTAAATACAGTACGTTGTGTTTGACCTCACGTCTTCTTCTGGGGGTCACCTCGGGTTCGTAAACTATTGAGGTCAGATTTAAGTCTTGTGCAGAGATATTTGACTCTTGAAATGGCAGTGGGTATAACAAGATTTAAATGGTGCAATTACTTTTTTTTTTGGCTAAAACCATGCGACGTGTGACACCGCTATGACTAAACTGCAAATCTTTGAAGGACTGATTCGTAGAGAACACCTATTTCTGCATGTGTGTGTGTGTCACTGAATAACATTTGCACCTGAATTTCGAGGGCAAAATAACAGCCATAGTATCGTGTTTATGCTTTATAGTGTTTTTATCCAGTGTTTCACAATTAGCCAAACAGCTGATCAAAATCCAGGCATCCATCAACTGTTGTCAGTCTGGTACTGTTTAGTTGCTGTTTAAAAGAACTTTGTTTGAAACCCGTGCATACACCAATGCCAATTCAAGTAAATATTTAAAAGAACTTTGTTTTTTTCGCATACACCAATGCCAATTCAAGTAAATAAATAAATCATAAATTAATGGGCTTAAAGTGGGCGTTTACATAATGAATAATTTATCAAAAAT